TTTTATTTGAATTAGAAACAAGATTGTTTTACATGTCAATCCCAGTTCCCTCTCCCTCCCCTCCTCCCCTACCATCCCCCCCCAACTAAAACCCTACCTATCACATATCCTTCTAGCAGTGAGCTGTTATTACTTACTTAGTTGTGTTGCTTTTTTGGTCATGTACTAATTTGAGTGTAAAATGTTATGCTTGAAGTGTATTATTCTTCATGCACTTATTGTTGAGTGTCAGTCTCACCTTGGATACAGGCTACATCTAATTGATGCTCATTTTTTTAGGACCTGGCTTAGATATACTAGAAATATTAACTTTTATGCATTGATAAGGAGGAATAAAACAACAGAATACTATAATACTTATTACAGTTCCAACATATGCTTCAGAATTTTAACAAGAATAATTTCCAAAATTTAAGAAAACAATTAATGATAAAATATGCTATGGCTTTTGCCAGTCTTCTATTTTTAACGGCTTTTTAATCTGTTGAATTTATAGGAGATACTCTCTCTCTCTCTCTCTCTCTCTCTCTCTCTCTCTCTCTCTCTTTCTCTTCTAGTGTGACAGAACCAGATTTCATGTGAATTGCAATCCTTTTGTGGAAAGTATTGCGCTCCAAGGAGCACATGAATTTTGTGCATGTGGCAGTGGCAAGGGCAGGGGTCTCCTTAGGAAACCCTGTGCATTCTTTGGAAGTGGAATCGACAGGGAAGAATAGACAAATCAGAAAGGACTGTAGTTTTACTCTCCTCTCTCCTTCAGAGCCAGTTAATAAAGCCAAAGCTTGGGTTCATGCACAATCAATGGGTGTGAGTTATTCTGACAGAAATTTACCATCCTTCACTGATCATGCGGTGCTGCACATAATAAATATTCTAAACCAGTACATTGCTGGTAATTTATTAGGCAGCATAAAATAATGAAAACAATACTGAGGTCTAGAGTTGAAAATACTCAGACCGGTGAGACGGAGGATCTAGGAATCTGGGTAGCCCTGAGGTTTTACTGTAGGTTACAGACTTGAAGAGTTTAGGTGCCAGGTGGGATGCTACATTCTTATTTATTTTAAAGTTATCTTCCTCACATTTTTCTGCAAAGATTATTCTCTTCCTTCCAAAAGAAAAATAGAAATACTGTGTCTTGTCATAAGTGTAGTATATAGTTTATTTTCCTATTTCATTCTATATCTCCCAAATCTAGATAACACATTCACACCTTAAAGTTCATGTGTTGCTCATGAGGCTCAATGCAAAAAATCACATTCTAGGAAGAACCTAGAAATGCTAAGGTCATCAAGCTCACTCTCTGTGGATTTAACTCTTTTCTACTACATCCTAGTGGGTCACCAGCTGCTGATCTCATCCTGGATAATGCACATGCCTAGATGGAGACTGGATGGGTGAGTGGCAGGTACCTGAAGCTTAGGGAGTGCCTGAGATTCAGACAGGTGAGTGAGTATATTGAGGAATAAGTCTGTAGAAGGAATATATTTCCAAATATTCTGAAGTGGATTATGTTGATAATTTTCCTCCAACATGGTGAATGAGTGGAGCCATTATGTTGTATGATGGATCTCATGTTAAGGGGCAAGTTTAGGTGGGATATTTGGTGCACTTGAGAAAGCAGTTGTCCCATGTAGCTGAAGGAGAAAGGCATAGTAGAGCTGGGGTAAAGAACATGGACTCTAGGCCCTCATCTTTGGAGTCCTGTTCTGGCTATGTCAGCAGCTGGAACCTGTGTAAATCACCTGACCTCTCTGTTGTGGAATATTTGTACACTGTGTGAAGGTGTATTGCTGTGATTGGTGTAATAAAAAACTGAATGACCAATAACTAGGCAGGAGGTATAGGCAGGACTTTTGGGCAGAGAGAACTCTGGGAAGAAGAAAGCTGGAGAAGACATGAGACAAGCAGAGGGAGCAGGAGGTACAAGTTTTAAGAGTGATAATGCCACATGATAGAACATAGATTAATATAAATGGGAAAGGTAGGAGAAAGCACAGAGTCACCATTATTCCGTCTATCAATGAATAATCGAATCAATTGTAAAGTGAAGAGGTGTAGTGGGACTCTGTTTCCCACTGTCAGTTCCACATAATGACATGGAAATTTCTTATTAATTATGAAAACTTGACCTTTAGCTTAGACTTACCTAAACTAGCTCTTATAACTTAAATTAACCCTGGTAAGTCCTTACCAAGGCAATTATCTTCAGAAGAGCATGTGGATTGAGAGATATAAGGGATGCCACTAATGCTTAGATTACATATTGATGGTTAGAGATGGGACAGTGGCTCAGTGTTTGAGGTGCTAGTTTCATGGAAATAAAGTTTGGGTTCTAATGGTGATAGTCAATGCAATTTAATTGAATTGAAATAGAGATATTTTCAAAATAGTTAGTGATACAAGATTAGACAGAAGAAAAGAAGAAAGATGGGAACAGGAGGAGTCTCCATCAGGCTGGCCTTGTTCTCTGCAGCAAACACCTAGAGGCTCAGTGCCTATAGCCTGTTACCTAAAATGAATCACTGGCAGAAATTGTTTTCTGTGATAACTCTTGGTAGGCATGAAAGTGTTTTTAAAACTTCAGATTTGGAGATGTCCTCAAAACTGCTTCTTCAGAGGCAAATGAGCCTCTTACGAGATGTCTAGTTAAAGAAAATAATGGATGTGAAAGGCGTTGCAAAACATTAATGCTCTATATAAGTGCAAGGTGCTACCATCACGTTCTGTGCTTAAAAATCTAGCAATAAAAGAGATCTTTTTTTTTTGTACTACACAGTCAAACATGAGCTTCATGACAACACTGTGAAGTGAAGTCATAATTGATGAACGGTTGTTCCCAGAGTGAGTTGATTAAGGTGAGATGCTAACCTGAACGAGTACTGCTTGTGTAATATGACAGGGATTTTTCTTTTTGGTTTTTCTTGCTTCATCCTTTTCTTTTATGAACTAGTTTTCAGAAAGTTAAATTCTACTTATCAGATTTAATGTTGATACTAATGGGGGTAGCTATTGGGAAGTGCTCTGCTGTAGGAGGTCAGTGAGTCTCAAGTAGGTTTGTAACTTTCCAAAGACCACTGACTTGGTGATAGGCAGTAGCTATGAACAGCCTAAACTTAACACGCAGAGTAGCATGTCCACAGAGTGGTAGAGTCTGCTTTGGAAACCAGAATCAGGAATGTGGGAAACATTCCCCCAAGTCACTATGCTTTATTACTCATTCATTTAAGAACTATACAGTCCTCACATGTGGGCAGATCTGAACATTAGTTCCTCATGCGATGCTGAAAAAAACCCAGGGCACAGTTACTATTATCTTTTTAATTTTACAAAAAGACACTAAGGCACAAGGAAGTTGTGTGACCTGTTCAAGGCCACACAGCTGGTAAGTGCACTCAGACTCAGGAAATCTGTCTGGGCCATTCATGCCTTCTGGCTACTGTGTTATGCTCCACCATCTTAATGCTTTGTGCCCTTCAGTAATGTGCCACAGTTTATCCAACCAAATTCAAGGTGGTCCTGCTTCTTCCTAGAGTCTGGGACTAGAGCTTCTTTAAGGTTCCAGAGGAGGCAGGGAGCATCTATGCCCAGCTAGATGCTCTTTTGACCTTCCCAGAGCATCTGTTCCTGAAGGCATGCTTTGGGATGCCACCAATTCTGTCCTAGACTCCTAATTTCTCACCCCTGTTTCTTCATTCCAGACAGCATTCTTTCCTCATGAAATACATCCTTTTTCTCATTATATCTTCCCATAAAACTTTCATCAATTTGAAAATTGTAAAATGCATTTCTTTTTATGCAGACGTTTAATTTATGTATGGGTAAATGACAATTGGGCAATATATCCTCCTGCATACCCAACTACCATTCCCAACTCTGCAGTTTGAAAATATGTTGATGATCTGAAATTGGCATGGGTTTTAAAGGAACAGCATCTTTTTAATCTTGACTTTAGATGATGTCTATCTGCAAGGCAAACTGGCCTGATCAGCGGACCCTGCTTCAGAGTTAGTTTCAGATAGATTACCACCCTTGCTAGCCTGAATCCAAGATCCCCAAGGACGAAATGGCATGTGCTCTTCCTGTGTGCATAGACAAACAGAGCCCCCAACCTCTCAGCATCTCTCCCTTACACATCCAGATACACTGTCATTTAGAATATAAAGGTGTTGTTTTTGCTTCACACCCAAATGTCAGAGCAGATCTGATTTTGTTGATTGGCTCCAGGTGATGTTGAGGGGAATTCAGGGAATTATCAAAATCAATCTATCTTTAGAGGTTTCTTTGAAATGACAGGATCTGAATCAAAATGTAGACTGTCATTATTTTTACTCTGAGCCTCCTTTCCTGTTTTCCACAGCTCTCATTCTACCAATGAGCAGGTGAAATAGCATGTTATTTTTCTTCCTCTATTAAGGTGAGCCTTAATACTCTCCATACAGCTAAATCACATCTAAAACAATCTAACTCCTTACTGGGTTTTGTAAGGATTTAATTACTAACCTTCAGAAGGGTTAAGAAAAAAAAATGTTCCCACACTGTCTTTGGGCACAAGTGACAGATGGGCATCCATAGACTTCAAAATACCTTCAACCATCAACAGGAAAGCAAGGCTCCTGAACAAATCCCAAATATACGGTGTCTTCTCAGAAGCAAAGAAAAACATGAGTGGTCACAGGTTTAACACTGAGGATATTGTTTAAGGTCTGACAACACAAAATCTGGGTACTGGAAACATGTTAGAAATGTAGAATTGTAGGGCATACCCTCAACTCTTAAACTACAATTTTCAGTTCACTTTTAGCAAGATCATCAGAGAATATGTACATATATTACAGGAGAAATACAGCTTCCTAGCACGGAAGCTTCATTCTCAGTGGCCAGCTGACAGACTGCTGGAAGGTGCTAATCAGGAACCCAGAGGAGAAAAGTAAAAATACTGTCATATTGCTGTGAACCTTGCAAATGTAAAGGCTGGCTTTGCAAGACATGCCTTCTGGTGCTGTAGTGGCACAAACATCATGGGAGTAACCAACCACTTTTGGACTGCATTTAAGCCTCACCTCATGGGTTGAAATCCATAACAAAACAAGAACCCATAGCTAGACAAATCATAAACTCTGAGGGAGAACCTATTATTATCCTGTTAAATGGACACATATTAAACAGACTCCAAGTGACTTATTGTTACACACATAGTTAAATGCATCTCTCAACCCTTACCTGAGAAGCTCCTATGTGTAGGAGATGGTGGTTAGCACACAACTGGCCATGATTCAGAGAATAAGAAAGCACCGAATTCTCAGTCCTAAAGGGAACATATATGCTGTACCCCCTCATCCCAAGGCTCAGAGATCATTCTGGAAGATAGGGTAGAATGATTGCAAGATCCAGAGGTAGTAGATGACTACAAGGAAACAGTGTTTTGTGAACACCTCAGGGGAGGTACACATATAAACCCACAGTGGTTGTGACAACATGCACAAGACCTGCAAAACTTCAAGCCAGTCAAGATTACAGCATGGAGAGGTAGGGGTGAGCATGAAGTCCCACCCATGACTGAGAGCTGCTGAGAGGGGGAAAGTTAGGTTTTTTTTATAAGAGTGTGTAGCCCCTGGTATGTTGACCATGTTTCAGTGGAAAATCATAGGTCCAAGAATGTGTGTGTGTGTGTGTGTGTGTGTGTGTGTTGGTCAGCACAAACTGGACTTAATAGATAAAGAGGACATGAAATTGGGTCAGTTGGGAAGGGGAGGTGAATATGGGAAGAGTGGAGGGAGGGAGGTGAATATGATCAAAACACTTTGTATGACACTCTCGAAGAACTAATAAAAAAGTTTGAGAAACACTACTTTAAAATATTCTTAAAGTGCCATCATGTGAATAATTGCTGTTTTCCAAATTGCCTGTCATTTACCAAGAGTCATGGTCAGTCTCAATTTGCAATGGGGCTATCATCCCATAGTGAGAAAAATGCTCACATTCCACTGCTCTGGGAAGATCATGGCTGACATAGAATCATTTTTTTCCCATGGAGGAGCAGAAGAAGCCATAGGGGAAGGAAGACTGCTCGTCACTCTCAGTGACAACAAATGCCAGCTTGACCTGCATTGTTATTTCTGACATACCACCTTGCTTTCTTGGCACATTATACTGGTGGATTTTTTTCCTCCTTTTTTTTTTTTCCTTTCAGATTTTATTTTTGGGTCAGACAAGGCAACTGACCTAGAGGTTGCTGCAGGCATTTTAAAATATCATCTTCCTTGTCTTTCCCATTGGACATAGCTGTCTACTGCAGGAAACCTTACCTGGGTGATTTTAAGAGTTCATCAGTCATGTGACTTCTGAGATACCCGTCCATCAAGCAAGCATTTCTCTCTTGACATGGTAGGTTGTGTGGCTAATAAAATGAAGCTGTGATAGGAAATGGGGGGGGGTGTAGAAATCACAGTGGTGCCCTGAAGGAGTGAGGGGAAGGGTGAAGGTGAGGAAAGCGGTGCCCTCATTCACCAGAAAGGATGTGGAGCAGTTATCCTTAGCGGGCACTAGTGTTGGGTAGGAAACAACCACCAGTTACTTCCTGCTCTCTCGAGGCTCCTTGAAAACACAGGCAATGTCTGCTCCTACACATTGCCCTGCCTAGTGTTCCAGAGAAGGCATGTACCGAGTTTATCAGGAAGAAAGTCACACTGTGGCTGTTACATGTAAACAGAGTCCACAAGTTACAGTTTGTTCATAAGAGCAGTGGGTGGTTGCAGGAGACTGTATAAATAGTTATTAGTGAGTGGAGAGAACTGGAATCTCAAAGTCCTAGGCAAGAGAGCCCGTTACGGCCATCAACCAAGGTAGTTGTGCCATTGCAATTTATTCCATCTTACATGGTAGTGTTGGTAGTATTGCTAGAACTGTTAACAGAGAGGATTTGATGCTGCCCAGCGACACAGTGACCAAGTTATTTGTGTCTCTAACAAAGAATTGAGCAAGACACAGACTAGTAGTGACAATGTATAGCTCTATTAAACAGCAGAATAAAGCCATTAGACACACTCCATAGGGTGGCAGAGGCTCAGGTCCCCCTCCTTGTTCTCTAGTCCTACACCTTCTTTGCAAAAGGGAGAAGAAATGGTGCCTGAGGTGGTTGGACCTTTGGTTGTCCCAGAACATGGATTCTTTCCTAGGCAGTATTTGCAATGGTCTGGATAGGCCATGTGACTGCCTTTCTGGGTTGACGAATCCCAGCATTAACTTTCTCACAGCTCCCAGTCTTGTTTGTCTGATCCTATCTCCTTCCTCAGAATTTCATTGTTACCTGAATTAACTTTACTACACTCATGTTTTGAATATAATTGGTATGGTAGGGTCTAATTAACTGAAAACCATATAATCTACTTTTTTAAAAAAAAAATAGAGGGGGATATTTGCCCAATTCAGAATGGAAACAACACCTTGTCAGAAACCTTTCAATCTTCATTGCTCTCACAGCACACGCCTCAACCATGTCTCCTTTTTCCGTGGCAGTCCTCCCTTTTCTGGAGTGTTCTGTATGCTGCTGTGATCTTCTACTTGGTCTCTTGACTTCCATCCTCATCACCTCCTGCCTTTGCTCCATGCAGCAGCCCTAGTATTCATCTCAAGATGTAGCTAGGCCATGTTTTCTCATGTCAAAATTCTAACTCTAGCAGTCAAGCTCTGAATATGTGACTTGCACTCATTCTATAAGCCCAATACTCTATCTTTTGCCTCTGTTTTTGCCAAGCCATCCTCACGTTTTCCTAAACTACATTAGATATATCTCACTTCCTGGGTCTCTGCCTGGATTGTATCTCTTTAAGATAATTTAATTTATCCTTCACTTACTTTAAAGTTCTCCATACGAGGTGCCCTACAAACAATTGTCTCTTACTGCTTTCTAAACCCTCTGTGCACTGGTACTTATATTCTTTAAAACTATCTGACACATTTTTTGTTGTTGTTGTTGTTGTTTTTAGTGTATCTCTCCTCCAGCTAGAGCACAACTCTGTGTGAATTGAGGTTTTGTTTGTTTGTTTGTTTGTTTTTAAACTTTCCCTCAGTGCCTTAGAAATTACTAAGAGCCTTCCTCAGTTGATACTTGTGGATAAATGATTTTCAATGCTTATTTGCATGTCTGCACTTCACTTGTTTTCTCGCTCAGCTTGGCTTCTAAGTGCTTTCCTGTCTTCCTGGTTTTGTTTGGCTCCTTCCTTGGGCTGATGTACCTTTGTTGTTTTATGAGGACTTCATGTTCAAGCCCTTCCTTTTCTTAAGACTCTCATTCTCCAGAAAGCCTTGCATTGTTCTGTTCTCAAAGCTGAATGTGTCTCTTGACTTCCACAGTGTTTTTAGCGTCTTTCATGTTTCTGTCTTAGCACATGAATTATACTGTGATTCGTCTTCATGACTGGGAGCTATCCAAGTTGGGATCCTGTCTGATTTATCTTCATTCCCAAGAGCCCAAATGGTACTCACTGCTGTGCATGTAGGCAGTGCTTCATGCATATTTGGGTCACAAATAATGACTGCGTTACTGTAACAATGCTGATTTGATGGCATGGTATCTGGTGAGAAATGGCAGTAGAGCTCTTTATAATTCTGAAATTTCTCTTTCCCAAATTTGCTCCTCATAACTCTTGATCTGATATCTTGTGCATAGTGGAAGATGTATAGAAATGCTCTTGGATATGATCATTTTGCTTTAATGCGTGGTGAAAGAGACCTACAGAGAGAAGATAAGTTACCTAAGAAGAATATCCATTGTCTTACTGAACTCTTCCTTTTTCATGTTGAGTCGGTAACTGGGAGAAAGTTACAATTATAGGGAATTTGTTTAACACCTTTGTTTAACCCAAGAAAATGCTTTCTCTACCTTTCTGTTGAAATACTCTTCTGCAGTCTAGTGGGAGAATCAAGAGTGGGGAACGACCATGTTCAGAAGGACACCTTGTAATAGCTTGATTTTTCTCAGCATGGATTTTCTAACTCCAAGCTGTCAGGACCTTGCATTGGAAGCTCACAGAATACTTGTGCAGCCATTGGTCTAATTGGGAAGTTTGGCTCTCATGACATTGAGGTTCATTAGGCTTCCTCTTATCAGTGGTAGAAGTTGTGAGATTTGCACCAAGCAGAGAGTTTAGATTCTAAATGAGAAATATAGATTAGCATTTCATGTAATGAAATAATGGACTTCAGGGTTACCTTTCTAGTGACAGAAGCAGGAACTCGAATCCATTGTAGGGTTCCTTGTTTAATCAATAAATAAAGGAGAGGCACACAAGATTTATTTCTTCTGAGGCAACAGACACCATCATTTTTCTTAATTATCTTTATGTTGCCTTTCCTACTTTCAAATTTTTTCCAAGTAAAAAGCCCTCTACATTAGGAAAAGGACACCAACCTCCTTTGCATGTGTGTGTGTGTGTGTGTGTGTGTGTGTGTTTTGTAAGACAGTTTGGCTTTTTTTTTTACTGTAATACCTACAGTTCTTAATAAAAACCTAGTAAGGTTGAAGGTTTTGCAAGGTTGTCCAGACTACCTTAGGGGCCAGAGGTCCCAGCTGAGGAGGAGAAATAGCAAGGCAGCTGTAGGAGAGAAAACAAATAGTTTGAACTTTGGATCCACAGATGGTTGTGCCTGCCAACTGTTATGAGCCAATGAATATCTGGCCTATCATTTGTCATATTTATTGCAGTACATAATGCTGTAATTTCTCATGGCATGGCTATTCATCTTGCTGTGTTCTCTGAACAGCTAAAATCGTGGCCATGTTGGAGCATATGTACAGCGTTTTGGTCTCATCTTTAAATAGCAGCCATGGAATTCGCATGTCTTCCCTTCCCAGGACTGGGATCAGGAATGCTTCAGAAGCAGCTATGAGGAAGACATTGGGAGGCTCTGACAATGGGAATGGTGATCCTGGTCTGTTCCTGTGTGCTAAGCAGAGGGGTTTAAAGGCACCAGAGATTTTTCTGCTGAAGTTCCTTCCTTCCTGGAAGGAAGGTCAGGTGTCCTTCCTGGGGTAGAAGCCATTAGAGTGAGACCTGTCATGGCCAAGAAGGTCCTTGGGAGCCTGTTGACATTCTTCCAGGTTTACAGAAAGGAAACTGACTCTGGGAGTGAGAACCTTGAGAGTGGGAGGAAGTGGCATACTACTGAGTTGCTCTTTTCTGACAGTGTTCATGGGAACACTGGGATATGGCACGGAGCAGCGGGAACACCTGTCTTTACTGGCACCTCCATGACTGGCAGTGGTGAGTCAGTGAACAGAGGCCGCATGATGCCTAACAACAGAAGGTGTGACTCATGGGTGGGCTGAGAGGATGCTTGGGGTACTGTTCATCACCTGGCGTATCTCAGAATCCATGCTGGCTGAATCACTGGGTCCAACAAGGCTTGGACTTGGGGCAAATTTCAACATACTTTGCAGCTTCCATGAGTGGCAGATGTAAAAATGGGACTGCTGCTCATAAGCTGCACCCACTTCCTTGGGCATGAAGACTCACACTTTGTTTAGGTTGCTCTTTGAAATGAAGGAAAGGAGCTCTTAGCCACTGAGGCTGTTAGAACACAACCCCTCCCCCCCATAAATCTCTTCCTCAAGGCAGTCCAAGGGCATACAGTGTTCAGCAGAAGAAAGAAAAGACGCCAATGCCAATTGCGTTATCACTGAGGCTAATGTCAAACATTTGCTTGTTAAGATGCCCAAATCAACCTCTAGCCTAATCACCTGAGTCTGTGGTAGGGAGGAAGATCAGCTCTCCTGTGTGTGTCAGCACCTTTCCTTCCAGGTTCCCTCTGTCTTGGACTGTGCATAAGCAAGAACGCTAAGAAGGCTCTGCAGTGTAATCCTGGCAGCAGCATTCTGAATTGTTTTCTTTCCTTGCAGAGAAGAAAAGGGTGGTATCTCTGGCAGCTCTGATGCTGAGTGAGGCCAAGCACTTAGGCTATCTGAAGTTGAAAAGGCTGTGCTCAGAGGTACAAAGAGCAGGTGATCTGGCACAAGTGTGAAGTATACTCAGAAAGCTTCGTGAGAAAGTCAGAAAGGTTAAGACTCAAAAAAAAGACTTTTGAAAAATACCAAAGGAGACACGGACTTTAAAGCGATTGTCAGTGCTTAGGGCTTGGAGTGGCAATCCAAGGCCAGTGGATGGCAATAAAAAGCTACTATTTTGAGTTCTCTTTTGCATCTGTCCCCTTGATTAAGCTTCTAAGAGTTGGAAGCAAGATGTGTAAAAAGAAAGATCACTGAAGAAACTGTTCAGACTTTCAGGTCTACACACTGGTGTCTACTTTTAAGAGAGATAAGAATCACATAAATAAGACACAATAGGAGGAATTCAAGTGGTTTCAAACTGAGTAAGTGTCCCCCATTT